GGCAAAAGTCAACAGGCTTTTCAAAATCCCAAATATTGCCAAACAGGCGCTTTTGCATCTAGTTTCGAAACTGAATCATCCGCGATCGTCTTGTCTGTCTCACCTCACTCTTCTGGTCAGTCAGCTCGACTCACTCTCCTCACTGGAGAAATGAAATCTGATCTGTGATGCTGTCGTTCGGCACGTTACATTGAGCAGCCACTTTCAGTTTTTAATTGTAGTGTCTGTTCTTTTACTGAACTAAATGATTTTTATTACTATAAAAAAAAATTCTAAACAACGGTGGGGGTCGGTGCCGCGGTGGGCAAGTGACGTAACCGGTGTTGCGGCTTAACACCGGTATCACCATCAGCACCGTCTATCGCGGCAAGCCTAGCAGGAAGCAAAAAAAAAAAGTTACAAATTAGCCGTATTTTTTTATTCCAAAGAATAATTGTGAATCATTTTCAAATGCACCAGTATAACAATACCTTGTAATAAACATTAATACATTTGTTTACTAAAGCATTATGTTTAATTAAAATTGAGTGATGTGAACAAATAATTAATTTGGAATGAATCAAACATACCAACTCTAATGTTCAAAACTCAACAAAAAAAAAAAGTATTGAGATGTCTTGTGTGTATAAATGAGCAGAGTTCTGTTTGATGTGCTTATTACAGGTATTTCACTGAACCCAGAGCAGTGGAACCAACTAAAAGAGCAGATAAGTGAGATTGACGACGCTGTGAGGAGAATATAAGACCTGCCTGCAGTTCACTAGTAACCTGGATGCTTTAAAACAGATTGTTGCTCTGCAGTTCTGCTTATGTTGCCCTCCAAAGCCCAAACACAGTATCTACACCATCTCTGAATCAGCCAAGGGACATAGTCTTAGAGACCTTTCATAAGTTTGACAAATGTGTAATGCCTTTGTAGAACGGCATGCTTCACAAAGCAAATGTGACCAGGACACTTTGTATGGATATTTTAGATTAGGTTTTATTGAAGTAGTTGTTCATTGTATTTGTCTTTTTATATTTGAGATGTTCATGGTTGGGGTTTTCAAAGGGGTTGGCTAGAGAGACGGGGTGTTTGTGTCCTTAATTTTAAATAAAGATGATAGAAATGCACACAACAAAGACCTTGTTTTATTTTGTGTTACAAGTTTCTCGCAAATGACTATAAAGGTAGAGAAAAACTGATAAAGTATTGAGAATAGATACTGTATTGGTTAAAAGTGTTATTTTTGTATAATTTTTTTTTTAATTAAGAAATTTTATTCAGTGACACTGAAGACTGGAGTAATGATGCTGAAAAATCAGCTTTGCGTCAAGAATAAATTATACGCAATTATTTTTCAATATTGTCAATTATCAAATAAATGCAGATTTGGTTAGCATATTGACTTAGCTCAGGATGGACAAAATTGTATGTGTTTGTGTGTATATATATATATATACAGTATATGTGTGTAAAAAATGTAATACATTTTTATTACAGGAAAGATTATTTAATTACACCAATAAAACAGTAATGGTTAGGTTAGGTTAGGTCACTGCAATTTTTTTTTCTTCGATTTAAAAGATGTTACTATTTATCTGTATAGGCTGTATTTTACTGACAGCTATGTCCATTAGAGCAGGTTAGATTATTTTATAAAATTAGATTTTAATATAACTTAATTTAAATATGAAATAATTTTAAGGCTCCTCCGAGTTTAGAACTACTGGTCTATAGCAGAATGTGTGCACCACTGCAGTCATCTACTGGTTATTTCAGTCAATTAGGTCTAAATACCATAACATTCCAAAAGAAATGCATTAATTGTTAATTACTAACCCTAACCATAGTTCATGTAGTGCTAATATATCATAGTATTATGCTATTGTGTTTTGTATTTCACTGTGTTGTCTTGATTTAAACACCTCGATTAAATGATTAAGCAGCTTATGAACTGATCATTTACCAGGTGTGTGCCATGACTGAATTCTGAAGATGTTTATGTTTGTTCATACAGAAATCAATGCTTAATTCATTAGGTAAAAAAAAGTGAAAATGCAGTAACAGTAACAATTGCAAAGTAGAGCTGGACAGATGCACTAAACACAATTCAACAAACATCTGCAGGAATGATTTATAAGAAACTTGCAAGTCAACACTCAAGTATTTAACAACACATCCGTTTTCAACCTACTGATCTATAATAGAGACATTAATATAGTTCTGTCACGACAGCTTGGAGAGTTTAGCATGTTAATGTACATGATCATGTTAACGGCAGGATTTGGTTCAAAAACATTTGTTCTTATGCTGGTTGAAAGTCTCTTCACATCCCGATAACAATCACTAAGTTAAGTGGTCTAAAAGTACTTATATGTATTTACATCCCTCGATCGGTCCAAGGGCTACCTGTGATTGCGAGGTTTGAAGCTTCAAGCAGCATCTGAAGGTCGGGACAGCTGGTTTGAAAAAAAAAAAAGTGTTTTGACTTTACATTGACTTGGTTGTGTGTGTGTGTGTGTGTGTGTGTGTAAATTTGGACCTTGTGGGGACATTTTTGAGGTCCCCATGAGGAAACAAGCTTATAAATCATACAGAATGAGTTTTTTTGAGGAAGTAAAAATGCACAAAGTTTCCTGTGAGGGGTAGGTTTAGGGGTAGGGTTGGTGTAGGGCAATAGCACATACAGTTTGTACAGTATAAAAACCATTACGCCTATGGAATGTCCCCATAAAACATGGAAACACATGTATGTGTGTGTGTGTGTACACACTTTTTTGGGATTCAGTAGAATAGTTTAGAATAACCTCAACACCAGACAGAAACTGAACGCACGTCACACCTCTATTGCATTTTATCATGTTCTATAGCTGGGGTCTCAGAGACCCCAAACAGCTCACCCAAAATATTTTTGCTACTACTCACATCAGTTATTAATTATAATCACACACTTGTATATTTGATATTATTGATCAATATGTAAGACACGACACCATGACACGAGTTGGCACAGATTAAAAACTTTCAAACCATCCTCTGGGTTAAGGCTAGATGGCCTACAGCAAAAACTACTGGGCATGTGCACATCAATATAGCATAGTTTTTCTCACACTGTACAACAATAATTAACATGTTTGCATTATTGTAAAGGGTAGGTGTAGACGTTAATAAAACACAATCTAATCGGTAGAAAATTCAATTTATTGTTAGCTTCAGGTTTTTGCTGTATCCCTTCTAGCCACAACCCATCCTCTGCTCCGTGATGTTTTGGTGGAGAAACCACGTCTGGCCACCAGATGTCGCTAATGCGCACTGTGTTAAAAGCTTCGCGTAATGAACCGTTTTCCGGCACAATTTCATGAAAGCCTCTTTTTTTCCCCTTTTTTTTTATTATGCAATAGAAGAACAGCAAATACAATTACAAAGACAAGTAAGAACAAAAGACAATAAGGGTTACAAACAATACTCCAAAGCATACTATGTTAGCTAAGACTTACACCATGAAAGAGTCTTACATGCAATAGAATTATTAGAGTTTCTTAAAGAGTTTACATTTCATGAAACCCTCAAACGGTTCAGAAAACCTCGCTTTCCCATCACTAATTTGAATATCGAGCAGCAAGCTCATTGGCTTCTGATGTGAAAAGATGATGTGAAAAGATGATGTGATTATATCAGATTGAGTTAGAAGCTATCAGCCTGCGCCATCTAGAACTTTGCATATCTCTACTAGTTTAGTCACCAAAGTCATTACCTTGCAGTCATGCAAGTAGACTGAAGGATGAGTAGCAAGTTGCACAAAAAGTATTATATTCTATTTATTATAGAGCACCCGGTTGCACCGCCCTAAGGATAACGCCCAGGTTTATTTGACTTCTTCACAAGAACTGCAACTTCACAGTTCAGTCACTAGATGGTGGGAAAGTCCACTAAAAGCTTGCGGGTCCGTTTTCTGTTCCACGGCAGCTTTGGCTCTCTGGACAGGCGTGAAAGCTGCGCGTTTAGGACCCTGAGGCGTGTTATTTTAACGCTCGGTGTGCATCAGACCATCGCGTCTGTGTGAAATCAGTCCCAGCGTTATTACAGCCCGAGACGGAACTTCACAGTCACTCTCTGAGTGAGCAAACAGCAGCCGACGCAATGAGAGAACTGCATTTCAAGGATCATTTTTGGGTAAGGTTTTCTTATTTTGAGGTGCACACAGTCAATGATTAGTGAAAAATAGTGGGCGTACTGTTGATTTGTGTAATACAAAATGATAACCAACATGCTCTGATTTGGTATAAGTTTAACAAATAGTAAAACCTTTTATTTTGAGCTCGTCTGTCACATATCGAAACAGGGCTGATTTCCTTTAAGGGAAGTTTGGTCAGCACATACTGAATAGCCAGGTCCAACAACAACCTAAATAGTTACTTTATTATATAATAATATATTATAAATAAAAAAAGCTTATCTCAATGTGCTGAATTGTGTCTGCATAGAAGAACAGCAAATACAATTACAAAGACAAGTAAGAACAAAAGACAATAAGGGTTACAAACAATACTCCAAAGCATACTATGTTAGCTAAGACTTACACCATGAAAGAGTCTTACATGCAATAGAATTATTAGAGTTTCTTAAAGAGTTTACATTTCATGAAACCCTCAAACGGTTCAGAAAACCTCGCTTTCCCATCACTAATTTGAATATCGAGCAGCAAGCTCATTTGCTGCTGATGTGAAAAGATAATGTGATTATATCAGATTGAGTTAGAAGCTATCAGCCTGCGCCATCTAGAACTTTGCATATCTCTACTAGTTTAGTCACCAAAGTCATTACCTTGCAGTCATGCAAGTAGACTGAAGGATGAGTAGCAAGTTGCACAAAAAGTATTATATTCTATTTATTATAGAGCACCCGGTTGCACCGCCCTAAGGATAATACTGGAAGTTAAAGTCAACGTGAAATTAAAATGGGCCATTTTACTTTCCTAAAGGGATAGTTTACCCGAAAATTTAACTTCTGTCTTATTTACTCACCCTCAAGTTGGTCCAAACCTGTATGAGTTTCTTTCTTCTGTTGAACATAAAGGAAGATATTTTGAAGAATGCTGGTAGCCAAACAGTTAAAAAAATACTATAGAAGTTAATGGGGACCAGAAACCGATTGATTTCCAACATTCTTCTAAATAACATATTTTGTGTTCATCAGAAGAAAGAAACTCATAAAGGAATGGAACAACTTTAGGGTGAGTAAATAATGACAGCATTTTAATTTTTGGGGTGAACTATCCCATTAATGCACGATTAAAAATGTTTTAATGTTTTTTTTTACTTTAAAATTCTTAAACTAATGTGAATGCCCTGACTACAGTTGATTTATGATCTAATTTCTTAATCTTATAATCCTACCAGACTGGCAGGGATACTCAAACAAACAATTAAGTGTCTTGATAGTGTTGTAGAGTTATAGAAAAATGTTACAAAAACTATGAATGGTGTATTCCGAGTTGCCTCTGCATATTAAGCTGGGATGGAGAAAACACCAAAAATGTGTGGAAATATTTCCTCAATATAGAAAGTGTGAAACAAAATCCCAATATTCAAGCCGTACACAATTAGTTTAATATTTGATTTAATAACGGATACATTTCAGGCATGCAAATTGACAGTTTAACTCATTATGTCATTATGTACAAGACATTGATCTAAATCAGGGCTGTCCAAACTCGGTCCTGGAGGGCCGCTGTCCTGCAGAGTTTAGCTCCAACCCCAATTAAACTCACCTGAACCAGCTAATAAAGCTCTTACTGGGTATAGAAACTTCCAGTCAGGTGTGTTGAGGCGAGTTGGAGCTAAACTCTGCAGGACAGCGGCCCTCCAGGACCGAGTTTGGACAGCCCTGATCTAAAATATAAAAACTCTTATTTTCAGAGCTGCAATAGAAGAAAAATATGCCAAGGAGCTGCTGGGTTTGTCCAAGAAAGTGTGTGGACACAGTGAAATGAAG